TCTCTCTCTCTCTCTCTCTCTCTGTCTTTCTCTGGCAAAACTCGTGAAATAAATAAATAAATAAATAAAATTAAAAATTCTTTAAAAATAAAAACCAATTTAGCTCTACATTATAAAAAGAAAGAAGAGCATTGGAAAGAGAATAAGTGAAGGTAAAATTTTTATTTATTTATTCGTAATTGGTTGAACATATAACAGTTTGCTCAAAACAATAACAACAATGGTGTATTTGGTCATCATACACAGCCTTGAACTACCTGTTATTTGAAGTAGATGTAGACTGGAATATATATTGAAAATTCTGGATGTAGCTTGTAGCCTAGTGGTTAAAGAACCTGGATCCCACATGACCAGGGAATCTGAATCCTGGCCCTGGTGACTTTTAAAACATGACTAGTACATGTACATACATGCCCCAAATCCTGACAGAATGGAGAGATAGAAGTTACAGGATTGCAATGTGCCCATGACACATTGGGAGTGCTTTCTCACTCTCTGTCTCTCTTTTTCTGGTGAGCGCACATGCCCTCTCAATTTAGGGAAAAAAAAAAAAAGAAAGAAAGAAAACTCCAGTCAGCCATTTAAAAAGTAAATACATTTCTTAAAGTATTGGTATATTTTTCAAGGAGATAACATGAAATCATATAGAATGCACAATAAAAACTACAAAAAGCAGAAAAAGAGTTAAAAAAAAAAAAGAATGAAGGCAATGAATAAAAAATAGTAAGAAGGGGCCAACAGGTGGTGTGGTGGTTAAGTCATTGGATTCCCACATGGCTGACCATGGCTTGAATACTGGAACTGGCAGCTTGCTTTCCCACTTTCCCTCTCTCTCTCTCTCATGAGTACATGTACACTACAGCAAATAAAATAATAACAGTAAATAAAAATAAATTCTTATAAAAAAGAAAACAGTAACAAATATGGTAGACATTAATAAAAAATATCAATAATTACTTTAAACATCAATGGCCTAAACATACCAACCAAAAGTGACTGTCAGAGTAAATCAAAATACTCCGCTATATGTTGTATATAAGAAACTTACTTTAAATATAAAGATATAAAGATTAAATGTAAAGGGATGGGGAAAAATATATCATGATAACAACAGTGAAAAGAAATTTGGAGTAACTATATTAATTTCAGGCAGAGCAGGCTTCAAACTAAAGAATGTTATCATGGATAATGAGAGGCATTACATAATGATAAAAGAGTCGATTCTCCAAAAAGCAAAACAATCCTTAATGTGTTTGTGCCTAACTACAGAGTTTTAAAACACATGAGGCAAAAACTGATAGAATTCTAAGGGGAAATAGGTGAATCTATACTTAGAGTTTGAAACTTCAATACCTTTTATCAGTAATGAACAGATCCAGCAGGAAGAAAGTCCGTAAAGACAGGTGAACACAACAGTTCCATCAATCAACTCAATAAATGACATGTATAAAACACTTCATTCAAAAAGAGTATAATACACATTCTTCTCAAGCTTACATCTAACATTCACTAAGATAGACATCATTTTGGGCTATAACATACACCTCAACAAATTTAAAAGAAATCATATGCTTACTCTCAGACCATAATGAAATTAAGCTGGAAGTCCGTAACAGGGAGATAGTTGGAAAACCCACAAATACTTGAAGAGTAAACAAAATATTAATAACACATTGATCAAGGAAGAAATCTCAATATAAAATTTAAAGACTTTACACAGTTAATATGTTAGTTCTTCCCAGCTTGATCTGTAGATTCAATAGAACCCCAATGAAAATTGTAACATGTTATTTATGAACACTGATAGGCTAATCCTAAAATCTGATGTGGGGAGCGACAGGTGGCATGTGGTTAAGGGAGCTGGACTCCCACTTGGCCAACCGCAGTTTGAGACCCGGACCTGGCGGCTTGCTTTCTCACTTCTCCTCTCTCTCACTGTGTCCCTCTTTGGCCAAGTTTAAATAAATTTTAAAAAATTATATGAAGAAGAAAAAGACCTAGAGTAGCCAGCACGATAATGAGAGAAAACTAAGCCAAAGTACTAATGCTACTTGACTTCAAGACTTCCTATAAAGTTACAGGAGTCAAGTCAGTGTGGTATTGGAGGAAAAAAGCAAACAAATAAGTCAAAGGAATAGAATAAAGAGCCTCAAACAGACACAGACCAATATAGTCAACATATTTTTCACAAAGGAGCAAAAGCAATATAAAAGGGAAAAGATAATCTCTTCAACAGATGGTGCTGGAACACTTAGACATTGAATGCAAAACAAAAAACAAAAACAAGGGAACCAGCAGTTAGCGTAATGGCTATGTCTCTGGACTCCCACGTAGTCGACCGTGGTTCGTGTCCCGGACCCGGTGGCTTAAAACTCACGCCGGGCGCGTGTGCGTGCATGCCCAAGATCCCGAGAGGAGAATGGAGGAGAAGGGATTGCGGCGTGGCCATCCCCTCTGGGGGGTGATTTCTCGCTTTCTGTCTCTATGTCTCTCTCTGTCTGTCTGACGAGCGCACGCGCCCTACAGTGAAAATCTCTCCCCCCCCCATATGAACACTGATAGGCTAATCCTAAAATCTGATGTGGGGAGCGACAGGTGGCATGTGGTTAAGGGAGCTGGACTCCCACTTGGCCAACCGCAGTTTGAGACCCGGACCTGGCGGCTTGCTTTCTCACTTCTCCTCTCTCTCACTGTGTCCCTCTTTGGCCAAGTTTAAATAAATTTTAAAAAATTATATGAAGAAGAAAAAGACCTAGAGTAGCCAGCACGATAATGAGAGAAAACTAAGCCAAAGTACTAATGCTACTTGACTTCAAGACTTCCTATAAAGTTACAGGAGTCAAGTCAGTGTGGTATTGGAGGAAAAAAGCAAACAAATAAGTCAAAGGAATAGAATAAAGAGCCTCAAACAGACACAGACCAATATAGTCAACATATTTTTCACAAAGGAGCAAAAGCAATATAAAAGGGAAAAGATAATCTCTTCAACAGATGGTGCTGGAACACTTAGACATTGAATGCAAAACAAAAAACAAAAACAAGGGAACCAGCAGTTAGCGTAATGGCTATGTCTCTGGACTCCCACGTAGTCGACCGTGGTTCGTGTCCCGGACCCGGTGGCTTAAAACTCACGCCGGGCGCGTGTGCGTGCATGCCCAAGATCCCGAGAGGAGAATGGAGGAGAAGGGATTGCGGCGTGGCCATCCCCTCTGGGGGGTGATTTCTCGCTTTCTGTCTCTATGTCTCTCTCTGTCTGTCTGACGAGCGCACGCGCCCTACAGTGAAAATCTCTCCCCCCCCCCAAAAAAAAACCGAAACAAAACAAAAACAACACACTTATTTTATACCTTCAAAAAACTCCAGAACACTGTTAACAACAAATGCTTGGAAGCACACAGACCAACAGAACTCTCACTCATTGTTGACAGAAATGCAAAATGGTACAGCCACTCTGGAAGACAGATGGCACTTTCTTCCAAATCTAACTATTCTTACCACATGATCCATCTATTGCATTCTTTAATATTTACTCAAATGAGTTGAAAACTTAAGCCCACTGGAAACCTACACAAAGATGTCTATGATAGCTTTATTTATAATTGCCAAAATTTGGCAACAACAAAGATGTTCTCCAATAGGTGAATGAATAAACACTGGCACATGTACAATAGACTATTATTCAGCACTAAAAACAAATAAGTTATCAAACCATGAAAAGATATAGAGTAGCCAACACAATAGGAAACTAAGTGAAAGAAACTAACTTGCCAAAGCTACATACAGTATGATTCCAACTATATAGTTTTTTGGAAAAAAATGATAAAGACACTTATGATCTATGGTTGTAAGAGGCTAGACAGAAGGGATAAAGAGACTGAGAAGAGAGGATTTTAAGGCAGCGAAACTATTCTGTATGATGCTATAAGGATGGATCCCCGTCATTACACATTTGTCAAAACTCATAGAATATACACCACCAAGGGTGAACTCTATCTAATGTAAGCTATGGAGTTGGGGTAAGAATAATGTGTCCACGTAGGTCCATCAAAAATAACATATGTGGGGCCAGCAGGTAGTGTGATGGTTAAGACATTATATTCCCACATGGCCAACTCTTCTATTCAATTTTGCTATAAACCTAAAATTACTCTAAAAGTAGTTTACTTAAAAAGAAATTTGTGGAGTCACCAGATGGTGCAGTGGTTAAGGAACTGGATTCCCACATGGCGGATGACAGTTTGAGTACTGGAACTGGCAGCTTGAAAATCACAATGCCAAAATCCCAAGAAGAGAATGGAGAAGGACTGAGGAGTGGCTACCCCCTGCCCCAGGATGTGATTTCTCACTTTCCTTCTCTCCATCTCCCTCCAATGAGTGCATGGGTCCTATTGCAGAAACCATTAAAAAAAATTAAAATAAAAAAAGGGAAATTTGCTAGGGATCTGATGAGCTTGAGGATAAAAATTGTTTCTAATGGTAAAAAAATAACCTTGAGTTAGTAAATTAAATGATTTTTTTAAGGGTAAGTGCTATGTTGAAGAACAAACATAAAGGATCTGAAGGACATTTTATGATGAAAGAGTCTTAAGTTTTATGAACATAGAAAACCTAATGACAAAATTGATATCTTAACTGAAATGTTTTGTTAAGTTTTAAGATCAAAACTATTACCTTTTTCGTTTTGACTTTTTAGGAAGAAAGTCAATGAAGAATATTGTTGGAAGATTTACATTTGGGTGAAGATTAACTTTTGTTCTTTTAAAAGACTAACACTTTTTAATGTTTAGTTCATTTCTGCACAAACGCTAAGCGGAGAACGGCATGATGGTCTATGTCCTCTCCCCAGAAGTGGTGTGGAAGCTCTGGCAGACAGGGATGTGTGGGTCCATTCACTGGTGAAGAGTAAGAAGCTCACACAACCAGGGTAGCTTAAGGCCATACTAGGTAGCCCCCCTTGACCTCTCTCTGTAGGGA